TGAATGAATGAATGAATGAATGAATGAATGAATGAATGAATGAATGAAATATTGGATGGGACTAGGTGGTTTTGTTCCATTTGAATCTGTTATACATTTTATAATTAACTGGCTTGAGGCTGTATTTTGATCTGTAATATGAGCCACTTTTGGCACGATCCATTGCAGAAAAGTGGGAGAGAAATATACTAAACTAAATGAACACTGAGCATATAGAGCACAAACTGAAAGACTCTGGTTGATTAAATCTGCCCAGATGTTTATAGACAATCAAGCATTCAAAACTAGATTCTTCTTCATTCAGAGTGTTTTGCTATTATTCTAAATCAGAATCTTTACATACATCCCAAAACATCACAGCTGAGCCAGTGAATCAAGAGAGTTCACCAAGCATGAGTAGTTAGCAGTATCTAGTTTTTATCTAATAATAGAAGTAGATTTTTGGATATTCAACCATAAACATATTTTTACCAAATATGATGCACATTTTTCTGCAACATTCTACAAAAATGTCTATTTCTATTTTATTGATATATTTCTAAAATGAAGAAAAGTAGTGAAATTACCTTATCTGTAAGGAGTTTAGTAAGATTTCTCTGCTTTCTGGACAGGTACTGATCAAACAACTGAGCCAGTTTTGCTGCTAGGACATGTTCACGGCTAAAGCAAGGATGATGCGTGAATATTAATCCTGAAATATCAACATCCAACTGAAAGCAACCTTGTGGGTCATCATTTCCAACTATGTACTGGTTGGCAAGTCTCATTTTTATGGCCTAAAATGAAAATTAAGCAAGTATATATACACAGGGGTATGATAGAACAAGACTTCAGAGGAATATATCAGAGCTAGATAATACATAATCAACTAATTTGGGGGCTTTTCATCACAAGGTATGAGTCTTTGGCTCTTTTTAGACATAACAATCCCAGTTAAGTAAACCAAAGATTAACAAACCAAATCAGGAATAAATATCACCTGCAGGATGAGGAGGTAATACTGACATTCATCAAGGACCTCTGAGCATGACCTCTTTTTTGTTCAAAAACATGGTGGTCTCTCAAGATGGAAATAAGTTCAAAGACAAAGTAAGGCTATTTGCTTAATGTCTTCTAGGCCCTGTTCAGGGTGTCGTCGGTCTTAGTACTAAAGTAACCATTTTCACTGAAAAGGAAGCTTTGGCCTCTCATGGAAGCCCATGGAATGAAGTCATAAATGCACAATACAGAACCTTGGCTGCAGAATCAAGTGCATATTACGCTCCTGTTTAGCAACATGTCCTGTCTCAACCTGGACAAGCTGACATTTCTCATCTGGCAACTGGGGTCAGAATAGAGCTACCCTTTTTGTGGGAGAAGATATTTTGTTGGGCATGCTTAGTAATTGGTTATGCAGAGAGAGAGCACTCCAAAAGATTAAGGGCTTATACCCAGCTTCCTGCCCTCCTTGTCTATGGATGTTGGCTGACAGGAGGAAACTAATAACAATTCAGTGCTGATCTTTATCCAGCCATTCTGCACTGAGACATCTAACAACATGCAACAATCAACATACCTTTTTATAAAAGGTCATAAGGTCCGTCTCTTGGTCACCCTTTGTGAGAAATAATGGAGGTCTAGTAAGGGACTGTTTAATTGGATTGGGCAATGCCAAAATTTGACCATCATCTCCAAACCACTTTTTCACCTGCAAAAAAGAAGAATTAAAAACATTTTTAATGTTGCTAGAAGTATCTTGTTAAAACTATGCCATTCTTCAGAAAATGAAAGGCCAAGGAACTACAGGAAATTAATCCTTGGCTCCATCCTTACCTGATTTTTTTTTAATTTCCTTTCATTATTTTTTTTTATGTAATGGGAAACAGGAATGTTAATTAGCTACTATTATGGTTATTTTCTAAATAACTATTGGCTTTAGTGCTTGTATTGCTTTCAACTGTGTTGCTATTTTTATTGCACTGCTTATTCTTGGTAATGTAAAGCACATTGATGTTTCTTAAATGAGGAGTAGTATGCAAATATCATAAACAAAATGAATTTAAAAAACCAGCTAGCATCATCTCCATATCCAAGAATATGTCAGGCCTTCTTAGAAAATAAAAATAGTGGGTGGTTGGAGGCTAGTTTTTAAGTCAGAAATGTACCCATCAGCCCAGAAAGAAAGGCAAAGACAGGCAGGTGGGATAGAGAGTGACAGAAAGAGCCTCAACAGATTGCCTTCTGGTTCATGAGTGGCCATGCTCACCCAGCAACCATTTTGTGACCTGCCAGCCCACCTGGGCAGCCATTTTTCTTTTTAGGGCCCTAAGAACATGCTCCTAATATGCCAACGTTCCCATTAGTTCCAAAGGTTTGGGGAGCATTGAAGTAATGGCAATAATTCTGCCAGGGATATGTATGAATCACCCACATGAGAATAGTCGAAGGTAAACCCAAGATATATTTAAGCCTGAATTCTATGCCCCAGGATTCTTGGGATTTTCCTGAAGTCAGGTATCTAGCTTTAGGTATCTCCTCTCCTATCAAAAAAGAGAAATCCCAACCTTGGGAAACAGGCAAAGAAGGCACTGCAGAGGCTAGACTCGGGATGGGCTAAGATGGGAGGGGTTCAGGTTCTGAAGGATCCTAGATCCTTCCCTTTCCCAAAGCTTTCAAGCCTCCAGAAGATCATTATGACCAAATCCTTGCTCTCAAGCTCTACCCAGTACCTTCAATGGAGAGGGAAAATGACCAATTAAAAAAAGTCAGTACAGGATAGAGATGTGCACTTGTCTCTCCGTCCACAGTTCCATTCTGCTGAGCTGCATGGAAGTGCTCATAGCATTCTGCCCTATCACTTGCAATGCTTCACTCACTTGTAAATTAGGCTTCACCCAAGGGTGAGTCCGTTGCTATTCTCGTATCCTGTTCCCTGGGGATTGTCCAGTATTAACTACATCTTCCGTTCCCACCAGCCATTCCTTCCTACTGGATCCCATCACCAAAGAAGGATATGCAACACTCTTTTACATTAAATAGGAACAAAGCTTTCTTATCAAACTACATCTGAAATACAGCAAACAACTCCTTTGTTTACTTAATGTTTATGCAACAATAAATTTGCTAGTCTGTAAGATTATCCCTCATGAAGGAATCTTGGCTCACAAAGGTGGTCAGTTTAAATCCCATGTTAGTCCACGTGTGATATTGTACAATATCTTCATTATTATTATTAGCATAAAGAGCTATAGTTCCCACATAATCAATTTGCTTCCATGTTGATGGATTAAACTCAATTAGTTTTCTAATTTAAAAATGAATTAAAACATTTTTCCATCACAGAATTGTGTTTACTAGAGAAGAAACAACTTCACCTTGGGAGAAAACTTCTGTAAGCTCACATACTACCGATCTTTTTGCATAGTCTCACTGTTGTGGGGGTCCTCTCCTCCTCCTCCTCCTTTTTTTTTAAAGTGTAATCCCAGTTATCTGGGGATATCTCTAAAAGATCCACCGGTTTTACTGATAAAATCAAATCATCTTGATTTGGAAATTCTGATTAGGTAGAACATGGGGGAGATATAGAACAGCAGAGTCACTTTGTAAATGTTGAAATAAGGAACTGAATTAACTTTTATGAAATAACTTAAATGGGATATAAAGAGGTACCTTTAATATTACAATGTATCTATAGGCTGCTCACTCTATACTCAAACTTATCATCCTGACACGTGATTCTCCTAGGCTGGGACTCCAAGGTTCCTTCAGATCTCCTTCCACTCAGATCCCCCAAATTTCTCTCTTGGTTCCTCTCTCCCTCAAAAATATAAACAAGGAGGTGGTGCCAGCATTACCATACTTTGAGTGATGGTTCTAATACCCAATCATCACAGTGTTCTTGATATCCTATTACCCTCAGCAACAGTTTTTTGTCTACAACTTATGGAAATTGCCATCTAACATATTTATAGTCACTAATGAAGTCATCCTTTAACAGATTTTGAGAAATCCATGTGTAACTTCATCATCAATAGAGAGCTCTTCCAAAAGTTGCCATTAAAATGCAACTTTTAATTGACAAAAAGGGAATATTTTGAAACATACAGAGCAAGCATATTAAATGTTTAACAGTATTTTAGATACTGGGTGATTTTTTTTATTCAGATACATATGTTTTTTATTTTATTTATTTTTATTTATTATTACATTTGTATGCCGCCCATCTCTCCCAGTGGGTGACTCTGGGTGACTCACAATTAAAAATCAAAAGCCTATAAAAAATTAAAATACCCCATAAATAATTAAATATTCAATCCATTAAAATCCACTATAAAACAAACCCTATACATTTTTCACTTTTTGATTGATTTTCTCTTCTCTTTTAATTATGTATGCCATCCAGAATCATTTTGAAGTTGAGTGGCCTTCTAAATCTAATACATAAATAAATATTAAAATTAAATAAATGTGTTAACATTAATGTTTAATGTTAGGATTGACCTCACCAACTTCTTCCTCCTGCTTCCACCCACCAACCAAAGACCAGGGATGACTATTCACATCCCTGAATTAATGAGATTTCAACAGGGGATGTCCAGCTGAAGTGCCTCAATCTGCCAAACATTTAGGTTTCTACGCATATTACCAACCTCTTTAAATTGTACAGCAGCCTGGTAAAGAGACTGTTTAAAAAGAATCCTCAAACTCCCTTGAAACATGGGCAACTGAACCATTTAAGGAAGATAAATTATTATAGCAAATAGCATCAACCATACCTGTTCCTGCTTGAGTATCCTATTCTCTACAATGTTTTGGTTGGACAATGACACAACAGGACGTTCTCCTGTGTAGAGACCTTCCTCCTCAAGATACCGTGGCTGCATATTTTCAGGCACCTTCAGAGAGGGGGACACTAGAAGGAAGAGACAAAGATGATTACTACTACTACTACTACTACTACTACTACTACTGGCAACTGCCTGGGCAAGTCACTGCAGTTTTTTTGGCAAGACTTTAAGGAATTTAACATTTTTTC